CATTTAAAGCGTTTTCAAAAAGCATGCTGGATTTTAGCTGTGGAAGTTTCTGGGCACGGCTAAATCAATGTCCAGCTACAGATTCTATTCTCACCAAAACAACCTCCTGTTTTCATTTTACAATCTATTCCTCTAATACGTCTTTAATGATGGTGGCAGCCTGGCTTCTGTCAGCGAGCCCCAGGGCCACGATGTAGCTTAACACCATCAGTGTGAGTGAATGGGTGGATGTAGTGCTTTGGTCAGCTCTCAGGTCAGTCCATTTAACATTTTCCACTGGAAGCTGAACAGAAAGGAAACTAGCTGTGGATAAAATCCATCATTTTTTAAATATCATTATTCATTTTCTATCACTGATTTGTCTATTTGGCAGTTTTACTACATTTAAATCGCCCGAATCACTAATTAAGATAAAATCAGTGTCACTGAAAAGATAAACAACCCGACTGTCCAGAGTTTGTCTTTCATATTGAATGATTTCCACTGAACTTTCTCAGCTTTATGTTAAAGAAAATCTAAACCCAGCCTCTTAACTAAAGCAAACACTTCAGGAAAATTCTTTAACGTAACTGCTCTCATCCTGGACACTATCTTATACAGTAGATATTTAAACATACAGCAAATTAACCTTATAAACCAACAAAGCAACTCACCTGAAACTATACTTGAGAAATACGCTATATCCTTTCACTGATTAACTACAGATTCAACTAAAGCTTCTTAGTTTTTGGGCTTTTTAAAATGAATATTAATAAAGAAGGAGAATCATTTGTCTTCCAGCAAAGGTTACTGGTACCAAAGTGCTTTATTATCAAATAAAACAAGCTAATAACATGTTTTATAATACGTCTCCCACATTCTTAGCTACAAAACCTCCTAATTCTTTAATCATCGCTCTATCAGATAAATATCTTTCTTTATGTGCTATTGGAACGACAAAAAGCAAGAAATGCTTGAGAGATAAATGTTATTCTATGATTCCCCCGCCTCTCAACAGCATCCCTTATCCCAGCTGGGATAAATGTGACGAAAAACTGATGGATGGATGGATGGATGGATGGATGGATGGATGGATGGATGGATGGATGGACGGACGGACGGACGGACCGACGGACGGATGGATGTGCAAAGCACAGAGTAAAACCTACTTTGTTAGTGAAACTGCACTACCCTACAGTGCTTTGCCTTGCCACTGCTGACATGTCCTGGCTCCGATGCCATGGCCTGAGTAGCTGCTTCCTCTCCCTTCAGAGACTCCTTCAGCAGGGAAGCTAAGCTGAAGAGGCATTAAATCCACCCAGATCTCCTCTTTCAGAGTCTGGCCTTGGCTTTCCATCATCCCCTCATCCTGCAGAGGCCTTCTGCTCCGTCAGTGATCTATGGGCAGCGTAAGGGGAGCAGATCTGACTAACCCAGGTCAGCCGTGATGTGAAACGCTGAGTCGACAGGCTTGGATTTTCTCCACAGCATGCTTCTGACCAGGCTTTAGACTCTTCATTGATTCAGCTTTATGGCTCCGGCCTGTGTGTCATTACTAAGCGTTTGGCAGAAATTAAAACACCAGTCACAGTGATTAGACTTTGTTTAGCAGCTAACAAAATACAGCAGGAGAAAATGCAGAAATATTAGAAATGTGAGGCTCATATTCTTCAATAAAGCCCTGCAGAATCATTCCCATTCACACATTCCCTGCATGCCGCACACACCTGTATTGGGCACCCTTCTGCTTTTTAAAATCAGAATCAGCTGTATTTCACACCAGGAGTTTGACTTTTAAAGTCAAGACATTTTAAATAGAAATACGGTGAAAAACAAATGTTCCTTTGAGTAAAAAGCTTAGTGTTGTTCTACGTTGTGCAGTCAGTGTGTCAGTTCCAGCTGTTTCCGACAGTAATACCGCTGAGAAGAGATGTAAAACACAGAGAGGTGGTGAGGTGAGCGACGGTATCACCATGAAACCTATATCAGCCTGGCAGCTCGCCCACAGTCCAACCTTTCACATTGTTTCCAATGGAATCATGGAAGAGCATCATTGCTGATGAGCTGCAGCCTTCTGCTTGTCACCACAGAGGCTTTTTATCTGATTTCTTACATGGTTTCTACATCCATTTAAGAACTTCATCAAGATACTAAAACCCAACCAGCTAATATTCTATTAATTTTATTGGTCTTTCCTTTATAAATGGTGACATTAGTAATAAAATGATTGTTGAATATTATAGCTATTGCTCATTATAACCATGTTGGACAGACTAATTCTATTTCTACACTCACTGCCTGAAAAAACCAATGTCAAGCTATTTGGATTTAAGTGAAGTTTGGTCATTTTCATTTCTTTCACTTATAAAATATAAAACAACAAAAGCACCCTGCTGTTTTTGAAGTTGAGTAAAACACGATCATTGTGTAGAAACTGAAGAGCAACATAAACCTGCCTAGTTAAGGTCAGCATGTGTGTTAAGCACCAGGCTGCAGGCTAGCAGCCCCAGCAGCTAACCTGGGAATTATTATTTACAGATCGCCACACTAATAATGTTTATAACGTAGAATTTATGCAACAACAGAAGCTATTTTTCATCATGGTGATTTTAAGTTCAACTTCCTTGTTATAGATAACGACTTTAACAGTTTCAACTAATTATATAATCTTGTTTGTTTCTTAAGAAATAACTGCAATCTTTATAAATTTCTCTATGATTTTCATCGTTTCTTAGATGTTTGCAGATTTGCTCAATAAAATAACATTAATGTCATTAAAGGTCAGACTTTTCACATTTATATCAGATGATTTAAACATAGAAAATAATGTGACCTGGACATTAAATGTTTGCTACAAAATTACAAAAATAGGCAAAATCCCCCAAAAATGTCCAATAATTCAATTTACATGCAGATTTATTTTTCTTTTGCTATTTTGTTTTTCAAGAATAAATAAAAAGATAAATAAAGTGCAGTATTGAGCTCAATAGGTTTCTGATTAATGCATATAATCCATATTTTGTTCATTCAGAGATAATTTGTTAGGGAAAAAAGATTTTAACCGACCAAGCAAGAGTTAAACATTATAGAAATGGAAAAAAAAACCTCTGTGTCTCTCAAAGGAATTGTTGAAAGTTTGGTGCTCATAAAATAAAAGCCATAAAATAGAAAGTAAAGAAGTGGAAACAACCATCTTCTCCTCCTACTGAAACTGCAGAGTCCAGTTTGCACATCAGAGATTTTTACCACCCTGACCATAACAGCCAACGCTCCATTCATCCCATCATCATCGTCATCATCATCATCATCATCATCATCATCATCATCATCATCATCATCATCATTTAATTAACCCCATCTGAAGCACATCAGCTCGGTGTTTCCAGCCGGCTGTCTTGAATCACAACTTATCAGAGCAATTGTGACTTCCAGGCAGCAGGCCGCCACTAAAGAGCTCCTGTGTGACAAACGCACATCAACAGGAGGCTGAAGTCTCTGACTAACAAATCCTCCCTAAAATGGCCGATAGGAAACACTCATCTCCTTCTCCTCAGGTGCTTTTTTGAACTCTTCGATTGGTTTGCCTTTTATAAAGCCTGGGGGCGACCTAAATTCCTCTTCTGTTGAGGTTTGGGGCCAGGAGAACCGCCACAGGCTCTGGACTGAACAGACAGGCCGGCGTCAGGCAAACAGCGCCTGATTGAAATCAATTTCTTTCCTCAGAGGTGCGTAAATAGATGAACAAATAAGCGGATAAATCCAATTTTCCCTCCTCCTTCATGTTTCAGCTTCAACCATCCGGCTGGTTGATATCCAGCAGTTTTCCACAGTTAATTATCTCCTTTGACAGATGTGGTTTATGGGTTTATTTTGGCACCAAACTGAGACAGGCAGAAAGATTATCCAAGATCAGCTCTGTGACCACTGCACTACTACTACTCACTACTGGTGAGCCTTTGAAAAAAAAAAAAAACACAGCCGTTGCACATAACACACACAACATCTCAAACAAACAAACATAAAATCCACACAGAGGTCTGATGAAAGCAGCCATGCACGTTATAAAACATGAAGCTCCATGAATTCTGTCCATTAAAGAATAAAAAAAGGTGAAGCAGATCCTCAGCTGCACAGGACCCAGGTGTCATCTCCTCTACTGACAGTGGAGATACCTAAAGTTCTGGAAATGTTCTGATATCTGCTGCCATCACCGAGCGAGAGCCCATTGTTCCACAAAGGTCAAAGGTTAAAAATGGAGGTTCTGAGCTGCAGAATTCTGGGATTTTATAGAAGTTATCCCAATTTGCATGGTGCAAAATGTTGATTTAATGCACAACAGGCGTGTTTTTCATAACTTTGGATTGGGACAATTTATTGTGAGAAGCCAGTATTATAACCTGCTATTACAGCTTCAGGACACAGTTATCAATTTATTCAGTCTGATTTGAGGAAAAACTCACTGCTGATCTGCAGCAGAGCGTAAAGAATGAATAAAGATAAAACATGAATGATGCCTTTAATTAGAGGCTTTTCAGGCTCAGCTTTTACTATTTCCAGCATGAAAATTAAAGTCAGGAGATTTGTCAAGATTATCCACATTTCTTCTAAGACTTCTTTGAATTTATTTATTTTTTAAGTCCATCACAGTTCAAACTGGTTTTATATGCATTCATAGACCGGAAGTAATGGGAGGTTTCAGCAGAACAAAGTAAATAAATGATTAATTACTTTTAACTCAGGGATATTTACTTAAAAAAGAAGTTTGGCAAAGATAATCAGATGAGCTTCCAGCAGCATCTCTGCTTCCTTCTGTGTAAAATTAATCTTTTCTCACTAGTTTAACAAAACTCAGACTTACCAAAGAAATATAACAAAAAACAAAGAAATCCAGTTTGAGAGTTTGAGAATATTAGCGCAGATGAAAGTAATTAAAGCAGCCGTGAGAGTGAATCCAGGTCAGCTCCTTTTCTGCAAAATAATGGGATTTAAAAGCTTTCTGAGGATTAAATCTCTTTTCTTACCTCTTTTTCTCCTTGTCAGCCGCCATGGTTTAATCTCAGTCTTGTAAGTCCGACAGTCTGAGTTAAGTCCAACTTTAGAGTAACAAAAGCTTGTTTTCTATTTAAAAAATGCAAAACGCAAAAAAAAGGAAAACAGTGCGGCCCAGTGCGCAGAACAGGAGGACCCTGAGGATCCTGGCATGCAGCAGGGGGCTGTGCTTCCAGGCTGGGGGGCCACAGGTGGTGGATAATCGGGGGGCGTACAGTCTCAGATCACTGCCGAGGATCGTACAGCCTCTCACCCGCAGAAGAGAGCGCTCAACACCGGCTGGGAGAGAAGTAAGCACCGCTGCCGCAGGTTCCAGACTTTCCTCGCCTTCTGAGGGCAGCAGTCCCTCCGCAGGCGGATCGCTCTCTGACCTGGGTGTCAGCTGGCTCCATGACAGCGGGCCCAGGGCGCTGATTGGCTCCGGGAGCCGCCGGGTGCCACCCCCTCCTGGCTGAACATAACCGACTCTCCCCCCCCCCCCCCCCATCCTACCTGTTTGTCCCCTGATGTGTAGCAGGTGTTTGGGGCCCCGTTCATTTCATCCTGCGGACTCATAGATGAATAAAGGGTTTAAGAATAGTTTCTGAAAGGAGATTAAAAAAAGATGAATATTAGAGCAGAACTAATAAAACCATCTGCAGTAACACCACCCCCCCCCCCAACATTAATTTAGTACCTGTTTTAAAAGAATAAACAAATGACAAAATGTTCCTCTACACTTTATAGGGCAGTAATTCAATGAATAAAAGGCAATATAAAACAAACACAATCATTGGGCTGCTCCCTGGAGCAGAGCTGGTCCAAACCCACACATGGCACCAAGTAGACCATCAGCCCCCCTTAGCCCACCCTCATTCAATTGTTATTTGGGTTTAAAAACAATAGCAAAAATAAAAAATAAAAAAATTCAACAACCTTCACCTTATTGTGAAATCATACGATAAATTCAAGTCAGTATTAAAAATCAATTCCAAAACACATTATTATCCCAGTGAGAAAATAGTGTCGAATAAATTATGTGTACGTTCTAAGGGTGGGGACGATCTAAGGGTAGGAGCGATCTAAGGGTGGGATCGATCTAAGGGTAGGAGCGATCTAAGGGTGGGGACGATCTAAGGGTAGGAGCGATCTAAGGGTGGGATCGATCTAAGGGTAGGAGCGATCTAAGGGTGGGGACGATCTAAGGGTGGGGACGATCTAAGGGTAGGAGCGATCTAAGGGTAGGAGCGATCTAAGGGTAGGAGCGATCTAAGGGTAGGAGCAATCTAAGGGTGGGGACGATCTAAGGGTAGGAGCGATCTAAGGGTAGGAGCGATCTAAGGGTAGGAGCGATCTAAGGTTAGGAGCGATCTAAGGGTGGGGACGATCCAAGGGTAGGAGCGATCTAAGGGTGGGGACGATCTAAGGGTGGGGACGATCTAAGGGTAGGAGCGATCTAAGGGTGGGGACGATCTAAGGGTAGGAGCGATCTAAGGGTAGGAGCGATCTAAGGGGAGGTGC